GTGTGTTTGCCCCTTGTGTGTGCAGATTTTGGATTACCTAAAGGAAGTAAACTCTGCCTGATTTTCACAACTTGATTTCCAGGGGAACTTGGTTATTGAAATAAATGCATAATTGCACAGATCTCTTCTATTCAGAGGCAGCATCAAGTCCTTCATTCTTTATATATCTATTGTACATATATATATATATATATATATATATACGTGTGTGTGTGTGTTTTAGCTTTAGGTGCCTAAGATTCTTCAAATCTTTAAATGTTATTGAGTCTGTGTGAGATTTTTGGTGATTCCATGCATTGTAATCCCAGAGTTCTTGCCTGTATATCCTTCCTCTCTGTTGAGGAAGTGTAGCAGGGAGAGTGACAGATGTGATCATTAAAAGTGTTTTCATTAACAACAGGGTAGCTTATGCCATAATGTTTTGTTTTTTTTTTTTTTAATAAATACTGCTTACAGTCATAAATTGCAACTATGTTTTCTGCAATTTCATGCACACAGATTACGTGAAGGGGTTTGGAGGCAAGTTTGGTGTGCAGACAGACAGACAGGACAAATGTGCCCTCGGCTGGGACCACCAGGAAAAGGTGCAGCTTCACGAGTCCCAGAAAGGTACATCTGCTCACAGCTCTTTATTGTTCTTTTGGAGTTTCCTCATTTTGAGTTTCCTGTTACCTCTGTGAACCCTCCTCCCCTGGTGTCTTTGGCCACAGTTACAGAAGCTGATAGGAGTCTCCTTTTTCTGTGTTGGATTGGTTGCTGTGTACTGGTTGTACTGGTGTTTGCAAAGCAGGTTTGACACAGCTGATACTGAGTCCCTGAAAGCTCAGACTTGGTGCTGAGTTCTCTCTGGAGAAATTTTATGAGTCTACAATTAACCTGGATTATTTTTTCCTTTTTCAGTTCACTCATGCAAAGCACAGATTTGCAATTTCTTTGTACTTTCCACAAATAATCTGTTAATAGATATCCCTATTTTCGTGCAGGGCAAATCTGATATCTGATGTTGTCCTTTATCATGGCCTGTGAGGTGCCTATTCTTGTGAAATACTTGGTAGGCAGAAGAAAAGCTGTAAAATACAACAGTTCATCCCCATCACTCTGTCTGTCACCACCCTTAACTTGGAGAAATGAATATTTTTAAATAAGGAAATTAAAACTGACCCTCAGAATATTGTTCTGTTGGGTGCTCCAGCAGATTGGTTGTGAGAGGATTACTTGAAACCCTTTTTTCTGTGCCCTCCCTCATTTCATAGCACATATGTGTGTGTGTGTGTGTGTGTAAATGCTGTTCCCTAGGCAGCAGTAGGGAATGATCTCTGAGCTGAGAGGTTCTTTTCCTCTCTAGCTGTGTGACAGCAGAAATATTGCTCCTTCCTTTAAGCAGTGCTCTGTATATATATATAATATCTGGAGGGTAGTCTCTGTAGACCCCATCTTTGCACCTCTTTAAAAGTCAGATCTCTGTGCAGATGTTAACCACACTGATAAAGGAAGCTCATTTTATTCTCTTGTATCTTTTGTTATTTGGTTTTTTTTTATTTTCTTGTATCTTTTGTTGTTTTGATTTGGTGAACCTAATATCTGTGTGTCTGTGTTCATAACCTTGATCCAATGCAAGTGTGTTATGCAGTATGGATGAAAAATGTTGAGAAATGCTTTTTTTCTGTGACTTCAGAATGGTGCTTACATCTGATAAATCATATTGACCTCTTCCTAATCTCAAGTCAAAACTTTTTTTGGATTTACTTTTACAAAAGTGTCTTGAGATTTTTTTTTCCCCCCT